CCACCCACCCACCCACCATTCCATCTACCCACCCACCAACCAACCAACCCATCCATCTATCCACCCACCAACCAACCCATTCACCCACCAAACAATGCATCCATCTACCAACCAACCCATCCATCCACCCACCCACCATTCCATCCACCCACCAACGAACCCATCCATCCACTAACCCACCAACCAACCAACCCATCCACCCACCAACCAAACCATCCATTCACCCACCCATCAGCCAACCCACCCATCAGCCAACCCACCCATCCATCCACCCACCCAGCCCTATGCTCCTCCCCCAACCCATTGCCCACCCCCCAGCCCCACCTTGCGTTCCAGGGGCCAGAGGTGCCGCCAGGTGCCCCAGCTGCTGGTTGGGGAGCTCGGTGGAGGGCAGCCCCCCACACTCCAGCCGCTTCTGCCTCCGCACCGCATCCCTGTGGGGACAGGGACGGGGTGGAGGGGACACCCTGAGCCACCACCCCAGGGGGGAAGCAAGCAGCTCCCCCCTGGGCAGGGGCACCATCCCGGGCAGGGGACCTGTGTCCTCGGCGAAGAAACAGGCCACCAGGACTGCACAGCCCACGTGGGAAAGGGATAGGGATGGGGATGAGGATGAGGAAGGAGATGGGGAGAGGGAAGGGAAAGGGGATGAGGTCGGGGTCAGGGATGGGGACGGGGATGGGGATAGGGATGAGGATGGAGATGGAGATGGAGATGGGATGGGGATGGAGATAGAGATGGAGATGGAGACAGGGAAAGGAAAAGGGATGGGAACAAGGATGAGGAGATGGGGATGAGGATGAAGATGAAGATGGAGATGGAGATGGGGAAGAGAAAGAGGATGGGATGAGGATGAGGATGAGGATGAGGATGAGGATGAGGATGAGGATGAGGATGGAGATGGGGAGAGGGAAGGGAAAGGGGATGAGGTCGGGGACAGGGATGGGGATAGGGATGAGGATGGAGATGGAGACAAGGAAAGGAAAAAGGATGAGAACAAGGATGAGGAGATGGGGATGAGGATGAAGATGGAGGTGGGGATGGGATGAGGATGAGGATGGAGATGGAGACAGGGAAGGGAAAAGGGGATGGGATGATGATGGAGATGGAGCCAGGGAAGGGAAAAGGGATGGGGATGAAGATGAAGATGAAGATGGAGATGAGGATGGGGAAGGGAAAGAGGATGAGGTTGGGGACAGGGATGGAATGATGGGGATGGGGCAGGGATGAGGAGGATGAGGCTGAGGATGGAGATGAGGGTGGGGAAGAAGATGGGGATGGGGGCAGAAGAGGATGGGGATGGAGATGGGGATGGAGATGGGACAGGGATGAGGAGGAGGAGGATGAGGCTGAGGATGGAGATGGAGACGGGGATGGGGACAAAAGAAGATGAGGATGGGGATGGAGATGAGGAGATGGGGATGGATCCACCAGCCGTGTCCCTTGAGAAACCTCACACACGTGTGTACACACATCCATGCCAGCTCACACGCGTGTGCACACACACACACACAAACGGGGGGAGGGGTGGGCTCACCTGAGCTTCCCCTCAGACGGCAGCTCGTGAGGGGGGTCATCACAGATCAGCCGGGTGTCCCCCTCCAGCAGGTAGATGTAGACGTGCTCCTGGGGAGGGGGACGGGCAGTGATGAGGGATGGGGACACCCCGGACATCCCAGACCCCCCCGCTTTGGGACCACCACTCCCACCCCCCAACCCCCCATTGGCTCAGAAGTCCTTGCCCCACACCCCCCAACCCCCCATTGGCTCAGAAGTCCTTGCCCCACCCCCCGGCTCTGCAGGGAGCCTCAGTTTCCCCATGTGCATGGACACACACGTAGACACCCTGAGGCCACCACCAGCACCAGGGGCACCACCA